TGTATTGACGAATATGTTCTCCCATTCTGTGGGGTTTTTTACTTTGCTGATGTTTTCCTTTGCTGTGCAAACACTTTTTAGTTTAATGTAGTCCCAGTTGTTTATTTCTTTCTTTTGTTTCCCTTGCCTGAGGAGATATATCTGATAAAATACTGCTGCAAGCTATGTCCAAGATTTTGCTGCCTGTGTTTTCTTCTAAGATTTTTATGGTTTCAGGTGTCACATTTAATTCTTTAATCCATTTTGAATTTATTCTTGTGTGTAGTATAGGAAGGTGGTCTAGTTTCATATTTTCCGCATGTATCTCTCCAATTTCCCCAACACCATTTATTGAATAAACTATCTTAAGCCCATTGTATGAGCTGGCTTTCTCTGTTTAATATTAATTAATTGACTATAAAAGTGTGGGTCTATTTCTAGAGTCTCTATTCTGTTCCATTGATCTATGTGTCTGTTTTCATGCCAGTACCATACTGTTTTGATTACTATGGCCTTATAAGTATAGTTTGATATTAGGTACCATGATTCATCCAACTTTGTTCTTCTTTCTCAGGATCACTGTTGCTATGCAGGGCCTTTTGTGGTGCCGTATAAATTTTTGAAATATTTGTCCTGGTTCTGTGAAATATATCATTGGAATCTTGATAGAAATTGCATTAACCTATAGATTGCTTTGGGTATTATGGAGATTTAAAAGTGATGTTTTTATCTGGAAACGTTTCAGTCTGGTCTTTTCCTTTTTAAGTACATCATCCTCTCCCTGCGGTGCTTTATTAATAATAACAAATTCTAGCGACAGCCCTACCAAAAGATCAAAACAGCTCAATGTGTCACTAGCAATGGGAACTGCAGTTTTAAATATTCTTCCTTCTCAGGACTCCATCCTGGGACCTTTCTTCCACAGTCTGTCTCTTAACATGTAGTATTGTAAATTTGCTATTTGATGTCATTCTGAATAAAGAAAAATTAAAATTTTAATTTATTAGCATGAATTTTACCATTTATCTCTATATTGTACAATGCCGGTTTTAAATGTAAATATAAGAGTAGTTAATTGCTATGAAGAATCTCTGAAAATTACAGAATTTGCATTGTGTAGCCCATGTGGCTCATATATTAAATCCTTTTCCAGAGCAGTGTAAATGCCACGTAAAGCAAACTCAACTATTTTTACTTCACTTCTTGATATGTACATATTCTACTAACACTCTCTACCTTTGGCTCACAGATAGAAAAGACAGTCCAAAAAGAAAAGGAACTATGGGGTTGTCTTATCTTTCCTTTTCCTGTCTATCATCATTTGTAGCATAAGTTGTTGGCTACTATAAAGAATTAACAGGACTAATAAAGGACACATTTGGTTAATCATATTTTGCTTGACCATATTTTTTAAAATACCCTTGCCTTCTTTCGGTGGTCAAAGCCCCTTTGGTTCAAACAGAAGGGATGGCCTCTTGGGGCTGTCAGCTCTCTGCTACCTCAGTCCTCAGTGTCACGTGCTTACCTTGTTATCACTGAGTCCCGCTGAACTCCCATGCATCCTGGCTGCACCGGAATTCTGTGCTCATGGGGCAGTCAGGATGCTATACGTGAATGGGGCAGCAAGGACCATCAATGTGCATATCGCACCAGTCTCTGCTCACAGCATGCTCCGTCATCCATCCGTCAGACTTTGTTTACAAAACATAAGCTCAAAGATAAAATTATTAAGAATTCAAGGTGGCGACAGCAGAGATTTAAACCAAGCTCAGGATCTGTCTGAGCTGAGCACGGGCCCTGCCCGGTCCTCACACCCACGTAGCCAGCTGTGCCCCATTGCCTCTGCTCCTGCCATACTGGCCCTGAAGTCCCTTAGCCTGACAGTTTCTTCCTGCGGAAGGGCCCTGTGATGTGCTGTCCCCACTGCCTAATGCTCACTTTCCTTCCTCACGTCCTGGATGTGTTCCTCTTTCTCTTCCTGTGGTCCCAGCGCAGCCGTCACATCCTTAGGTTAGACCTGCCTGCCTGACCAGATCAGAACGGTCCTAGCCCCAATCACCTCTCACAGGCACCCTTTTTCATGTAAGTATGTGATCCAAGGATCACTTATTTCCCTCCATGCTGGACTGCCAACTGCTTATAGGCCAGGATTGGTCTGGTTTTCTTCTTCACTGTTTTATCAGTTCTGGGCACATAGCCCCTAATTAATATTTACGAGGTGAATGAATGGATGGCTAAATGAAGGAAAGTCTTCGCAACCAGAACATAAGTGTCAGATGAAGAGGAGGGATAAGTGAGGGTGAGTGACTTCCAGGTTTTGTTCCAGGAGGCTAAAACCTAACTCAGCCGGAGCTGGTGAAAACTAAGTGAGCATTTCATTGCCCCTGTTGACTGTCTCTTCTAAGTGACGAGTGCTTTAGGATAAGGTACCCTTACATTGTAAAGTGTCCAAGTCATTTTCTTTGTATCTCCAGGCCCGGCATCAGTACCTGGCACTTCGTCAGTTTTCAGAAAATACAGGGTCTATGGACTTGAATTGAGCTGAATTTAGTAGGATGAAAGTACATGGCCCTGAGGTTCCCTTCATCTCACCCTCCCCTGTGTCTCCTCTCCCCCCTCCTCTTTCTCCTCTTTCTCCTTCCTCTCCTGCCCTCTTGTGAAGGGTGTTTGAGACTTAAGAACTACTTTAATTGTAATCAAATGTTGCCAACAGAAAATTACCTTCTTTTATATTTGGTTTAACTGGACTCTTCAAAGAGAAACGGTCTGATTGGGCTTCTAATCAGAGCAGCGGCTGGGCGCTTCAGAGAACGCCCCAGAATGTCTGGACATATTCGGCAGTAATATTCCTCTACTGGCATTGATCTCTGGATAGAATCACAAGGCAGGCACTTTAGAAGTTCATCCATTTAACCCCAGATAATTCAGAGCAGAAATAACTTGAGGATGAGACGAAACCTGTCCTCCCGCCCTGAGGGCTGCAGATCCGCTTTGTCAGGGATGCGAGCGATCCTCAGCAACAGCCGGTATAATGGGAACCGGCCTTCTTGTTAGAGCCTGGCCCACAACCTGTCTATCTTATCCATTATCCCGCAACTACATTTGAGAAATGGCCAGGAGGGGATACAGTGAAAATGGAGTGTTCGTAAGGAAACTGAAGATCAATGAAATAATAAAAACCAAAAGCCTAAAGGTAAGTTTGTTATTGATTGATCATCTCAGAAAACCTTGTTAGTAAGAGATCAGGGCGTGCTTCCTACATGTAAAATGGGGAACTTCTCCCCTGAGCAAGACTTGAATGAGAATACAGACTGTGACAGGAAGCAGTCCCCTCAGTGGTCCCTTGAAAGTTACGGGGCTGCTTGGAGGTGGTGCGGGGGAGTAGAACGGGTAGTCTTCGAAGTCAGCCATATCTGGGCTTTACACCAACTTTCTAGCTCTGTGACCCTGACCAAGTAATGACCTCTCTGATCCATTTTTTTTTTCTAATTTGTGCAAACTGGCATAAAACATCTGCCTGGCAGGTTTGTTATGAAGATTAAGTGAGGTCACCTGGGTGGAGACACAAAGCTCAGTACCTGGCACAGAGCAGGGGTGTTGTCCCTTCTTCTCACAGTGTCACTTTGGAACAGCAGAGCAGGTGCCTGGTCACCCTGAGAGTGAGGACCCCCTATCACTGTGTACCCTTGGTGCCCCACGGTGGTTCCAGCTGTGCAGCTGGGGCAGTGTCAGACCAGGGTTGGGGTATCTCAAGGTAAATGCCTCCTTCCAATACTACCTCCTGGACCATTTACATAATTGAGACCCAGAGAATCAATACAATTTGACTACATCAGCGGTAAGTGGCAAGCAGGGATTGTGAATGCAGACCGCTATGCTCTAAGCCTGCGTTTTACTCCCCGGCAGCCTATAGCTGAACCCCTTGCTGCCCATGCCACGTGACACTCACACACCCCTTTGCACTCTGAATGGTCTTTCTGGACATCTAGACCTTGTCTCACCAACAAGTTGGCAAACTCCTTCAATACAAGAAGAGAGCATGCTTCAAATTTTCAGCACTTCCCAAGGCACACAGTACAGGGCTTACTTGCAGTCAGGGTTCAAGAAACAAATATCCATCAACTGAGACAAGGAAGATATTTTCATGGCCTTATCATTTTAATACAGAGAAATAGTTATAATATACATTAACCCAGCTGAGGATGAGAAAAGCATTAATTTCACAACATGTTCAGCCCTTTAAGAAGTTAGTTTCTCAGGCTCCGCAGGGATTCCGGAACTCACATAGACTCGCCCCGACTGTTTTGAGAGAAAATTGCAACTTGGAATGGCTTCTCCTTTTCCACAGGAAAGTGGTAGGTGGAGAGCCATGGAGGGGCCAGGAAAATATGGCTGCAGAAACAGGGTGTTTAAACCAGGAGCAAAGGCGGGAGAAGAAGTGTGCAGCTCACATTGAGCAAGCAAGCAAATTGCCTGGGGACCCTGCTAAAATGCAGATTCTGACCCAGGAGGTCTGGGAGGCACCTGGCCATCTGTATTTTAACAAGCTGCCAGGGGATGCTCATGTTGCTGGTCCACAGAGCAACCTTCATGGAGCAAGGATGTGGGCACAGGACAAAAGACTGGGAAGGCCTTGGCCTTTTCCTCCTTCCCTCTGCAGCCATTTGTCTTTTGACTGTGGGCAAATTTTAATCTCAGAATGAGCAGAGGGCAAGCAGGAAGTCTGCTCAGAAAAGTAGGAAACCAGGATCATCAGCCAACTCCCCAACACATGACTGTCCCCTTTTTTCCTCCCAGATACCCTTGACGGGTGACATTTCCGTATGTGAAACACTTCAGTTTACCACCCATGAAATGAACATGTTGGTCTGGGTCCCTGGAGGCTTCTTCTGGTTCGATGGTTCCCTTTGTGGGGCAAATGGCCTGGAGGTGTTAGCTTTGCAAATCTGGTCCAATAGAAGCTCTGTCTTCAGTCCGGCAGTTCTCAGTACCCCCACTCACCGTCTTTCGTTCTTCCGCAGGAGAGATCTGTGCCTTCAAGATCCACGGCCAGGAGCTGCCCTTTGAGGCCGTGGTGCTCAACAAGACCTCGGGCGAGGGCCGGCTCCGTGCTAAGAGCCCCATTGACTGTGAGCTGCAGAAGGAGTACACGTTCATCATCCAGGCCTACGACTGTGGCGCGGGGCCCCGGGAGACAGCCTGGAAGAAGTCGCACAAGTGAGTCACCTGACACAGTTCCCTGGATCTCCTCCCACTCTTGTCCACCATCTCTGCCACACACTGCTCTTCAGATATGTGTACCCAGTGGTCACACCGTGGTGCTCCAGCCTGCACAACTCACAACTGCTGGCCAGTGCTCTAGGCCACTGCAGGCATCAGCACCAGTCACTTTCTACATCTGAAATTCTTTACCGCTCTGCTTCCTGGGGAGATAGTCCTGTTCTACCCTCAGAACTGAGCTCAGGTTCCCTGAGGCAGCCCACCCCTGCAGGCCTAGTTGGCACCATTCCCTGGGTTTCTGCTATGCCACATGCTTCCCTCTGTCCTAGCACTTTTCATTTTGGGCTATAACTCCCTCTCTTACAGAGTTTGACTCAGAGACTAACACAGAGTCAGAGGGTTAAGTTCTTACTCAGTGGAGGAGTAAGTAAACAGATGAAGAAATGAATAAGGGAAAGGAGAGACAATCAAGAGGAATAGTGTTTCCTAAACCTGGGTGACAAGGAAGGTCAAAGTTGAGGGGGCGTTCTCTTGGGTGGATTCATTATGGGGTTCAATGAGAGGGCAGACAGAGCACTCAGACAACAACCACCATGAGTAGCTTGTGGTTTCCCCATTTTCTTGGTGCTGGGACCTGAGTCAGTGCCCATGGGAGGTGAGGAGGACAGTATGATTCTTTCTTTACCACCATCTCTTCTTTTTCCACGTGCGGTTCCAGGGCTGTAGTCCACATCCAGGTGAAGGATGTCAATGAGTTTGCTCCCACCTTCAAAGAGCCAGCCTACAAGGCTGTGGTGACAGAGGGCAAGATCTACGACAGCATCCTGCAGGTAGAGGCTGTCGACGAGGACTGCTCCCCCCAATACAGCCAGATTTGCAACTATGAAATTGTCACAACGGATGTACCTTTTGCCATTGACAGAAATGGTGAGTCTCCTGAGAGAACCCTAGCAGGGGACAGGGAAACCCCTCCCTCCATTCTGAAGGCCAGGTGGGGGCCTGAATGTATGCAGCAAGTGATGCCTCCCTTGCTCTCCCTGATCTGCTCTGTAACCCAGAACCCATTCCTGCACTAGAGGCGATGGCCTGATATTACTAGCCACCCAGCCAGGTATAAAACATGCCCCCAAGATACCTTCTCAGGGAATACAGTCTATAGAACTCAAAGGCCACTTATCTGGATGCGGCAGACAGGTTGGTTGTCCAGTAGAATTTTTCAGTTGTCATCCAGACATGAGTCATGCCATCAGCTTGGCTGTGTCTGAGTCCCTTTCCAACATAGCCAGTTGAAACATTCCCCAACCACAGCATTCTGCTTCCTGCTCCTAAACAAAGAGATGCTGAAAGACAAGGTGGAGATTTCTGAAACAGCTTCTAAGCTGTAGATCCAGTCAGGAATCCTTAAAGCTCTTGCAGGTGTGCTTTGAGAATTTTTACCCTGGTGAGAATTAAGGATGAAAGAACCTTCCCATGACACTCCAATCCCAACTGATCTTACTGAACTAAAAATGGTCCTAATAAATCCATTTGAATATTTCACCACTATTAATTAAGAGCTTGTTGTAGTATAAACATGACAGCCAGAGGCCCACTCAATTCAACCCACTTTAACTGTAATTTTCAATAACTTGATATCAATCAAACGATAATTATTTGCCAAGGATATTATTTAATTATTAGCATGAGTGTTTGGGTATATGTATATTATGCTACTTTGTTTCAAATAGGATTTAAGTTCTACACAAAGACTCAAAAATTTTAAACCTGAAGCTCATCTACTCTGAATACTGACATGGGGAAAAAAAGGTTTACAGTTAGGAGTATGCAAAACACAGTTTATTATTGTATTATTACTTATTGATTATTGTATTATTTATTTGTATTACAACTGTAAACCTAATTTTGCCACTGCTGTATTTACTGAGTGCCAAGCACAGTGCTAGAAACTGGGAATGGAGATAGAATAGAACCAAAAGCAGACATGGGCCTGCCCACACGGAGCTTACCATTTAGTGGGGACAAAAATCAACATAAAAGGTGACACAAAGTCAGGCAGCATCAAGGGTGAGGTTGGTATGCAAAGCATGCCATGAACCAGGGTTGGGCAATAAATTAGCTCTGAGCCTCCTGGTAGCCAGCACCTAGAGGGAAATACTATCTGTCCCCTCTTGCAAGTCTTCAGTGCTTCCAGTGCTTCTTGATGTTGAGACCAAGGAGAAACTTACCCTATGACATTGTCTTCTGCGTCCTGATAACTGCAGCAGGTTCCAGAAGGGATGGGGGCCAAGGAGAAACCCTCATCCCTAACCTCCGGTAGTTTCTGATGTGTCTTGTAAGAGGAAGTCGGTACTCCTAACACAAACAGAACTGTACGAAGGCAGTTTCCTTATGAAATTCCAAAACATGTGGAAACGACAGTTACACACCTGGACATCACTAGATGCTAACTGTGTAGGACACAAGATCAGTGCACAGGGAAGGAAGGGAGAAAATACAAACTTCAATTAAAGTGTGGTTCAGGACTAAGAAATGGGCAGTTTCAACTAGCAAAGCTCTCTGGTAGCTTTTCCTGCAGACAAGAGGCCCATCCCTACCACATAGGCACACATCTCACAACAACACGCATGCAACTTCATAAAATATAAAACAACTCTTTTGTATTTTTCTGTTCCCCTATGATCAGCTGTTCAGTCTGTGTCCACACAAACTTTGAATTTGGGGAATGACAAGTCCCTGATGAAGAGCAAGACTAGAAAAGGAGGTCTCTGTGGTGAGTGGTCAAGCTCTCCTGGACCTCCTGCCTTAGCTCTGGAGAGCCAGGGGCCAATAAGGGATGAGATGCAAATTCTTTCATTAGAGGGTAAACTGCCCCAGTCATGAGATAATTACTCACCTTGATGAGCCATTTCGCTAACATATGCCAATTTATTTCCCTAGCTGTCTCATTAAGAGTGAGTAATGGTTCTTTGCCAGGCCTCTGCCTCCGACACTGGTTTACAATATAAGGTGAAGGGTAGAGTGGGCATTCTCAGGGAGTGTGGGCCCCGATAGCGAGGCTTACCAAAGTAGTTCTTCAAGTAATGAAGGCAGGACCTAGGGGCAGACACAGAAACAGCTCCTATTCTAATGAGCTTCCCAGTTGGCCCTTATCCATCACTCTTCCAGCAACCTTACAGGCTCCTTGAAGAAGTTCTTTGCATGCACATCAGAAAAAGTCCTGCTGAGTGTGGGGCCCACTTGTTGATGCCTCATGGCTTCAGGTAGATGGCTCCTGGACCCTCCAACCTACTAGGCCTTTTGCTTGTGGCAGGAAAAAGGGGAGCAGGGCAGCAGGGAGGATAGAAGACAACACAGAGTCAGAAAGACCTGTCTTCACTGCAGACTTGACCTCTTCCAACAGAGGTTCTCGACCTCCCTCCCCTGTGAAATGGTGGCAGTGGTAGTCCCTGCCTCACGGTGGCATTGGGAGGCCTCAGGGACAGGCAGTGCCCAGGGAAAATCCTTGCAGGATCCGTTGCATACAGGGAGTGCTCTATTCATGGCACCATGATTATTAGATATTCACCTGGGTGCTTGGGACATGAAGGCTATTCCCTCACTCCCCATGGATTTCCAGGCTGGAATTATGAGCAGGTAACTCTGAGCTGGTAACATTACCCTGTCTTGGAAAGTTTTAGGTTGATTTCAGATGGCTGCCAGGCCCCCATCTTCTGGCACTTGGCCGGTCTCTCAGAGATGGGTGGGGCCTAGATGCTCATTTCCATTAAACAGGTGAGAAAACTGAATCCTAAAGCAGAAAGAGCTTGCCTAACAGTGCCTGTCACGCAGCTGGCAGAGTTGGAGCTGGAGCCCAGGTCCCTGAGTGTTGGCCCCATGGCCTTCGCACCAGTGATATAATTATCCCTAGTGATATTTGACAGGAATACATGGCAATGGTATTTCAGTTCAAAAACACAAAGTGGTGTATTAACCCTCCATCAGTCACTGTGTGTGTGTGTGTGTGTGTGTGTGTGTGATCTTTGCAACTTGTGTGAACCTTGCCTCAGATCCTCATCAGTAAAATGGGAATTAAATATCTTGCCTGTGTTAGGGGGTGGATATACTGCAAACAAGGCACTCACTGGAGTGTGGGCACAAGCTTAACTCTCACCCACACTTGAAAATGACCACAGTGCGAGCAGCAAATGTCCCAGTAATACCCACATGCCACTGGACAGACTGTTCTAGTTCTCTAGGGGCCGTTTTCTCTCAGCCAAACTGTCAGCAGGCTGCGCAGTGAGTAATGGCCCTCTGACCCCTCTGCGTGAAGCGTGTCTTAGCGTTGCTTATTCTTAAAGGAAATGAAAACTCTTCTTTTCCACCGGACTAGAAAACTAACGCATGCCCTTTGCGGGAAATTTGGAAAGCACAGGAAAGTATAAAGAAGGAAATAAGTCACATGTAATCTCACCAAAGATAACCACTAATAAAGTAAATTTTTAGAAAGATAACTACTTCTGACATGTTTACCAGATTTTTTTATGACTTTTTAGACAAAAGTATGGCCACATGTTTCTTGTTTTTCTTTATCCTCCCATTTTTGCTTAACGTTTGATTGTATATATATATATATATTTCCATCCTTAAAAATGCTCATAATTACCACATTTAGTGCTGAACAACATTCTATCTCATGCACAGACTCTTATACTATCAGACATGCAGTTTCTTTCCTATTTTTCAATGTAATAAATAATGCTGATATGGACATATTTTCACCTGTATTTGCAATTTTTCACAATAAATATCTGAAACTTTTATCATTTTTCTGGAATCAATTTTTAGATATGGAATTGCATGCCCAAAAGGTATGAATAATTGCAAAGTGACTGGCCTGTTTAGCTGTCCAAAAAGATTGTTCCGATCTAAATTCCATCAGAAGGTGTGTGCAGGTCATTGTGCTTGTCTCATTGCATCTCCCTCCCCATATGAATTTTAAAAAATTACCTTCACCAACATGTAAGGTAGGTACTGATTGTTCTTTGAGAGTTGGCTTCCCAGGTTCTTTTGGACGGGGGATAGGCCCAGGGGCAGCTGTTTTTACCTGGGTTAACTGTGGGACTATGTTCTCCTGAGAAAGCACTAGCAAGAGAAATCATTTAAATGTGAGGAGAAAAAATAGAATCGTAACAGAAGCAACATGTATGGCTTCTTCTGAGCTATCAAAAAATTTTAACTGGATGTCTTATCCAAATAGTACTACACCCCACGCAATGATTGGTCACAACATTATATTCTCAGTTAGACCTAATGCTGGAAATTCTGTGCTCTGAGTCTCAGACTCACATACATGAAGTTGGTGGTGGCAGAGAAAGTAAATTAGTTTCCCAGACAGTTTCATTAAGACAGTTACGGAAGAGGAGCTGCAACAAATTGAAGCAGAGATTGCTGGCTTGTGTGTTTATTTTTCCAGTACAATCAATAGTGCTTGGTCTGCTTAATGTCACACGGCTTATAAACCCTAAGCCTTCTTCTTCTAAGAGACATATCTTTTGAGAGCCATTTAACTTTAAAGAAAGAGGAAGTTAAAACTTTTTGTTGAAAATTCAATTTGATGTTGCTGAAACCTCCTTCTTGTGGTTATATTACGGTGCCACCACCTGACAGAATTCCTCCCCTGTGATAACTGTAACCGTGAACTAGTTCGTTAACAGTACCCGTAGGGAGTGTTACCAACCTGACACCAAGCCATCCCAGACCTGTGCGGGCCCCAAGTTAGACTGAAACAAATATTTGGGGAAAAATAAAAGGGATTCTGAACACCAGCCACAAGGCCAAAAATATTTCAAATCCATTTTATTCAGAGATTTTTGAATGGCTTTGTTAAAGTAAATTTTATATCAAATCCATGGTTGCAGTTGCATTTTTAGAAACAGCCCAGAGCAGACAGCAGAACAAATTATTCTAATTCTTGGCCCAATGTCTTAGGCAACTCTGTCTCCCCTCCTCATCACCACTTAGGTCCACTGCCTCCCCCTCCCCCTCTTCCCCCTCCCCCTCCCCCTCCTCCTCCTCCTCCTCCTCTTCCTCCTCCTCCTCCTCCTCCTCTCCCTCCCCCCCGCCCCACACACATTCACATTTGCAGCACCTGCTCATGGCTTAGTATTGAGTTCTGTTTAATACTGGGTGATTGGCGAGTCAACTTTTACACTCTTTAAAACACTATGTGATGTTCCTAATTTCCCAGACTTTTTTATCTTAGTCACTGTTGTCTCAATTCACATGAACAATATATATGAGTTAGAATGGAAGAGTTTATTAAATAGCTTTTCCTTAGTTTGGATGAAATCTAAAAATACGCCTGAGTCAGCCATTCCATATTGGTTCATTTGCTTGTTGGGTTTTTTTTTTTTAATTTTCATTTACTTAATTTCACTTCTGGTAAAGAATGATGATAACATTTGGGTTCTAATTTGCTGTCAGTTCCACTATCAGAAAAAAGAATTCAAGAATGAAATTACTCTCAACAGAGGAAGAATTTAATCTCTTAGAATCAAAAACTAAAAATTATTAAATGCACATTGGGTCTATATTAGCTTCTTGGAACTAAAATTGTATTTTAGCAAAAATGGTCAATTAAAGTTTTGCTCGTTAATTATCAAGTATGCATTTTTGAATCATAATATCAAACCCACACAGATAAAAATGCACAAATGGCTCATAAAAACTGTTTTGTCTTTCTGAGAGAAGAAAAATGCCTTTGCCACCAGGGCAAGGAATCTGTTATTCTGTGTAGCTTTGGAACGGAGGTCACACATTTTCTTATTGATTTTACTTCCTATTTGCTAGCAAAATTATGTGAAAAGAGGCAGTGAACATTCCTGGCAATGATCCCAGATGTTAAGAAATATGTGTCAGGACAATTCTGAATTCCATCTTTTTCCCAGAGAGTTTATGGCAGATGAGCTCTGCACCTCACAGCAGGGGACACAGCCACAGGGGACACTTTAAGAGAGAGTTTTCCAACAACCCATTACTTACAAACACAGTTGGATTCCAAATGTGCGCTTTGCATTTCGAAGCACCCCTGTCCCACAGCTGAGGCGGCTTCAGCCAAGCGATCCTGGGAATCTGTCACCAAGGTACAAGCAGGCAGCACGTGAAAGCCGTGTCCCCATTTGCCCTTGTTTTCACAGAGTGATTGGGAAGAGGGCCATTTCATTCTGGTGAAGGTTGGAGGGGTGAAGAAGGGATTTTAAAGTGTGCTTAACTTGATCTGAAACAATTTTGAATATTTCTGTGTCCTCAGGCAACATCAGAAACACCGAGAAGCTGAGCTATGACAAGCAACACCAGTATGAGATTCTGGTGACTGCTTATGACTGTGGACAGAAGCCTGCTGCTCAGGACACCCTGGTGCAAGTGGAAGTGAAGCCAGTTTGCAAGCCTGGCTGGCAAGGTGGGCCTGCTTTTGTCAATCCTGTGGGATAAAGGCAGCTTGACCTGGTGTATAGAAGCTGCTAGACCTATCCTCAAATCCTCACAACATGCAACTAAAGGGATTTTTAAAGTGCAGTCACTCTGCTGCAAGAAATAGAATAGCTTGTTTACTCTCACAACTCCTAGGGGCTATATTATCCCCATTTTACAGGTGAGGATGTTTGAGGTAACTCATCTAATGTCATGTGCCTAGTTTGTCCAGTGTGTTCTTTCTCAAATGTCATGACATTTTTGGATCAATAGTAATTATCCAGGGTGCTCAAATGGCCAGCAAACCTATTCATTTTATCATACAATGCTGAGTCCAGCTGGCGCCTTTCAATTGTTGCATCATTACTTAGCACCAGGAGAGGGTTGGGCTTGAACAGAGGGCATCTGGACAGAGGTTAGAGATCCAGAATCCAGCTCTTGGTTAAGGGGTTTCTAAAATGTTGGTCCTGGAAATGGCAAAACAATGGTTTTAGATGGGGGTGGATTTCCATGGTAGCATAGGATTTTTAGGATGCAGGGACAGAACAAAGGTTCAGGTTCCCATTAGATGGTAGAAGTTTATCACTGAGCCCAGGTGAAGCAACGGGGTAAGGCCAGCTGCACAGAGGGATCTTACAGAGAATCGATGGCTTATGGAGTAACAACAGCCATAGTGGTGACATCAGTAGTTCTGGGGGCAGAGCTGGGATGCTAGAGTTTTCTCTGTGCCAACATTTTGGTTGCTCGACAGCGCCTCTTTCTGCTTCATGTGTTGATGCTACGCTAGGCTACTGCTTATTCATAACTCAGAGTGCTTCATGGAGTCCTCCACTTTGTGGCTTGTTTATTGCCTTCTCTTGGTGTATCTAAGCTTCAGACCTCCTGTTATATTCTCATTCTCTCTCTCTCTGTAGGGGGTGAGGCTATCTTTTATTCTTAAATTTCCCCAGAGAGTGTGTGATTAGCTGTGTTAGTCACTCACATCCCCATGGGGCACACTGATGCTAGGCTACCATGTAGGTCACTGGTCAGACTGTAATGGCTGCCTTTTAGCCAGACATTTATTCCTAATCCAGTTAATCAGGACCAGGTTAGCAAGACTTCATTGTGCAAAGCAAGGACATTTGTGGTCACTCCTCTCCGGGGGCACCTCTCAAAGTACTCCTCCCCTGCACAACCTATGCCCCTTAATCTTTCAACTGGAAAGATGAGAGGCTTAACTAAACCAACCTATGGACAGAGTTAGAGTCATTTTCCTTTGAACCAAGTAGAGAATATGAGCACAGTCAACACATCTTTGTGTCAGTCTATTTAGGACAAAGCAAGAAACAAAGAGGGACAAGCCAGAGTGGAAAACTGTGTGTTTCCAACCTCAGGGAGCCTGGGCTCTGGTTGGGGATAATTCACTAGATCCTAAGGACCCTGAGGGCAAGATTCTGTCTCTTTTTTTCACCACTGAATTCCTCAGGCTTAGCACATGCCTGGCCCCGACGGTAGGTGCTCAAGAAGTCATGAATTGAATGAATGAGTGAATGAACGAACAAACGAACGAACGATCTGACTAAAGAACTCACCTTGTTTTATTTTAACTTATAAGGACTGGCCCCAGAGAAGGTCTAGCTTTTGAAGAGAAAGCCTGGGAAAAATATAAAATCCTTTAAAGCATGAGATAAGATCACAGTGGGATTTTAAGTGGGAAAAGTGAAACAAAGCCTTATCTGAAGAATGGTCCCAATAGTTTTTGTCTTTGATAAATGAGACACCTATAATTTGGGATTACATTTTTGTAACTATATTTAAATGTAATTTTCTAACAGCATTGGTGCTTGTTTCGGTTTTAAATGTACTAAAGAAAAACATTTTAATAATGTTCAGTTTTGTGTCTAAAGACTCTGTGGGGCACCTTCCACTTCCCCTCTGGTGCATGATGCTATCTGCGGCTCTCGGCAGTGATCTCCTGAGGGCAAAGGTCGTGCCCATTCCTTGTGTCTCCAGTGCCCAGCACAGGGCCAGGCATAACACAGGTGAATGACAAGTGTTGAATGGACAATGGAATGATACTTTGGTAAAAAAATAAAATGAAATATATAAATACACACACACACACACACACACACAGGTGTGTGTCTTCCATGGGACAGAGTACAGAGGGAAGCAGCAATTCCATGTATCAGTGCACCATATCAGGCAAAGTTATTTAAGCATGTGTACCATCAGAATCAACTACTTTATGGTGGCTTCCCTGCCCAAGTAGGCCAGCCTTTGGAGGGAGAAGCTGACATGGGATTCTATATCACGCCCCTCCTCCCTCCGGCTTACCCCTTTAGGCAGCCATTAAGTCCCCCTCCCCAGCTATTGACCCAGCAGGTTTTCTGATCATAGGTCCTCCAGGTTCTCATATATTTGTGGCCGTGATCGAAGTGCCTTCCTGCCATTCCTATTTCCAGCCTCCAGATCTAGAGAAAAACTTCTCTCCTTCCAGCACACCAGTCCACTTTATTCCTCCACTTGGACAATCTTCATCTCTAACCAATGCATCTTTGGGCCTGTTTTCTATTCTACTGTTGGCCAGGGCTGCAGCCTTTTAGCTTCAACTACACCTCTCTTTAAAGACAAGCAAACCACCACTGGTCCCAGATGTGTATTTCTTGTTCAGCTCCCTCTCCCAGGTTTGTAGGGCAAACTGGAGTGGGCCATGTTTTACTGGTCTTCTTTGCTAACTGCAGATGGAGCAGGAAGTTGTCAGGTCCCAGGGGAAAGGGTTGACCCTGCTGAAGTGGGTGTGGGGTGAACCCTGCGTGGTATAGAATGGAAGAGGGGCCCAGAAAAGGAAGGCCAGTCAGGGCGCCAGTGAAAAATACAAAGAGGCCAGTCTGGCTTGGGTTGGGACTGGGGAGAAGCAAGTAGAATGGGGTGGGTGGCCAAGATTCTGAATGCCAGAGTGAGGAGCTGCAGTAATCCCCAAGCTCCTCAGACCCAACTGTGAGGGATAGGTCTGTGGGCATGTGCCACACATAATCGTCCGGAACAGAGGTGCCTCCCTGAGCAGACTTCTCACAAGCAACCAGAGTCACCAAGCAAATGCAGTTTGGCAGTTCAAATTCTTGTACCTGTTCCAAGTCATTTCCCTGCAGGCAGGAGGGGATTGCAGCCCAGTGGAAGCAGTCCATCACCTTCGGGAGCCTCCTGTCTCCCCTGAGCATGCCTGGTCAGCCTTGCTATCAGCCCTTGCTGCAGTCAGCTTCTCCCAGCCAGGTGCCTTGGAGGAGCAAGGGATCCTGCCCACAACGAGCCTTCTCAAGACTTGATAAGGGACTGCTCCCGGACTCCAGAACGCCCAGGGCAGTGGTCCCATTTTCCACCACAATAACCTCTTCCACAGTGTAGGACCCACTTCTCCCAGCCTGCTGCTGGCCTTCCCCCAACTGGGTACAGATGGGCATCCCAGACTCTCCTCTGCTGCCTCCTGCCTTTCAGACCTCGGTCAGAGCATCTCTGCTCAGGCTATGGTTTTCCATACTGTCTTCTTTTGTGGTTGGCCTTGACTTCCCAGAAACCATATGGGTTCTCTGAGGCAGAATCACACTTTTTACAGCCCCTGGCACTCACTGAACTTTACATCCACCACATAAGCATAAACTAAAATCTTGCTTACCAGCGTCACCCACCAATGACTGAGTGGGGCTTACTGGGAGAAAGGAAGGCTTTGCATCCAAAAAATGGTCCCAGGGTGCCACACGGGTGCTGTCTTGGTCTTCTATGAGTTTTGTCTTCTCCGCTGTACTCTGAGATTGTAGTTCTGAGTAGGTGGTAAGGGTTAGCTCACTCTGCAGGCCTATGTGTTGTTTTGCCAAAGGGAACATCACCCCCATTTCTCAGTTACTCAGAGTCCTCCAAGCACCAGCTAGACTTGTGTGTGTGGAAGAGGGAACTAAATCTCTTTGTTCTGTCCTGAGCTTTGAGAACTCACAGTACCCCTGTAGATGCCTCATATTCATGGAAATGAAAGATTATAGTAGGAACCAAGAAAGAGGTGCGCCTGCAACTGGCCACATGCTAAAGACAGGCTTGTGCCTGCCTCTGTGCCAGGTGTCTGGGTTTGCAGTCTTCTCAGTGTCTGTTTTCCTTTTGCCAAGAGGTAATAAACACCCAAGTCTGGGCCCCTGTGTGCTCCGAGGACCATCCTTCAGGAAGCTCTGCATCCTCTGTGATCAGAGCACCACAGAGGATGTTCTGCCCTGAGGCTGCCTGGGTGATTGAGGCAGTGACAGCAGTGGGGCTGAGTAGTGATGACCCTACTGACCCCTCCTTATGGGGGCTGCAACTGTGTCCTAGAGGATCGTTTGTAACTCAGTTGCTGGTCTGAGTTGTTTTGTTTGGTTGTTATGTTATATGTTATATGTTAAATGTGTTCCCCCCTCTTTGTGCCTTTCTTTATCGCTCTTTCCGGTCCCTTGGCCCATCTCTTTCTATGTTTTAAGCTGAAAACTTTGCCTTCACAATACTTACTTAATATACTTCCCCTTTTATTGTTGCAGGTCAGATTTTGTATTTATTACCTATCTCTGCCAGTTTAGACCCAAAATTCAGTATTTCACTGTCCCTTTATACTAAAACAATCCCTCTTTACAGAGCCACTGCAGACTTCCCTGGTAGCCTTTCACCCTTTCTTTCCCAGATATGTTGCTGATTGGACATCCAGTCATACTGGATCCAAGGTTCCCATATCAAGTCAGCTCTCCAGACTCAAACCCCCGTGGAACCCCATTTCTGCCTGCCTGCCTCATTCCTGAGCACAGTTCCTTGGCAATCGATTACAGCTGGCCAGCACCAGGTCCCCCAATACCACCAGCTCCTGGGGATTTTCCCAACTCCTGTTCTCTTTTCCTTCACAAAAAAAGTGTCTTATCTCAAATAAAAAGAAAAGGAGATGCAGTCATAAATTGAACCATTTCTTCTGTGTTCCTTTGGGTATGAGTAATTCTCCAG